GTTGTAAATGCTTACATTTCATGTACAAAATGATTTTCCCACCATTCAAAATAATGTTCACATCAGGAGAGTATAAATACGTAGTACACATAATACACATGTACTACAGTGGTTCACAGTTTCTATTTATCATCAAAAATGTATGACCAATGATCAAAAAATTTAATTTCAATGTACATAATTCATACAGTATTTATTTTATTTATAAATTTAATAATTAAGTATTATTGTGATACGAGATAATGATAATTATTATAAGTGCGTTTAAATGAGGGAAACACACAATGTATAAACCATGAATAATCATTAAACTTAAATTAATTCATTGATTTGAAGTTAGAAATTAAACATGAAATACAAAAAAAATAAAAACTGTAACTCATTAGTCATATTTATTTATATATTATTATTAAGACGAGCAAAAATGGACATAAAAAATTATTACGATACGATCGGTAATTAATTTTACAGTATAAATATATACAAATATACAATACAACTAATCACAAGTACTAGGTTTTTTTATATACTATTTAAATAAACACTAAACATATTAAAAGATAAACATGAAAACAAATCAATATGAAATAAATTAAATAATTCTATACTTATATTCATAGAAGAATTACGACCGTAATAAGTAGACTAGTATGGTACATAAAAAGTATTTAGTTGTCTGGTACTACGACTAGAAACCAAAAAGTTTAGACTAGAAAGAAATTCGAGACAATAAAATTTTCCATTAATTAATTTGAAAATTAAACGAAAATCTAACTTTTTTCTACGTATTCCTAAAATATTCTATATTTAAAAGAAATAGTATTAGTTGGTAAGAAGAGTAAGTTTGACGTTGAATGTTGTAGTTAAAATATAAAAATATCAAAAAACCGTTTTGTATCAAATTAATTATTTAAATCAAACCAAAGATACTAGATGGCAAAATTATACAACTATAATCCAATATTTATCGTACATATGAGCAATAAAACGCTTTTGATACACGTGGATAATTAAAACTTTAAAAACTTCCAACCTAGCACGGAAAAAGCTTTATTTGAAATATATAAATAATACTCATTAAATGATAGAGACGCATTTAAATATTATACCAAGGTTAGGTTATTTTTATAGTTACGAATGAATTCAGAATTTCTTAAAGTAATCATAAAAATATGGAGTCCGCTTTTTCAAAAAGGTTAATACTTTTTGCTTAGAAATATTTTAATGTAAGATGTTATAGTTACACCGATAATTAAAGAAGTTTATATTATTTTAAAGAAACTCAGCATAATTTTAGGTCTTTATAGTACGAAATAATTTTAAGTCATTGGCAAAAAATAAAGTACGAGAATTGGTAAATTTAATATCATTGATGAATACGTTAACTAATAATGGTGCAATATGAGACTTTTGAGGACTCTAGAACTCACATCACATTATTTTGAGCAAATACTTTTAATTTTAACATATTATTTCCTACCAGTTAAAAGAAAAAACTAAGCACAAGTGAATAGGATTGCGTAAGCCTAAGTTATATAATTTGATGGCAAGAATATTGTGATCAATTTTGTCGATAGCTTTCAAAAAGTCGGTATGGATAACATTTACTTGATGCATTGCCTTAAATGTATCTAATAAATATCCTTAAAATACTAAAAAAATTGTAATAGTTAACCTACCGTTCATGAAACTACGTTAATCGTCAATAATTATGTTCTCAAACATAAGATTGAGTTCTTTTGGTACAATACTTTCGAAAAGTTTTTAAATTATTGAGATTATTGAAATAGGAAGATAATTGGTTACTAAAGTATTGTCTTCTCATTTAGGGATTGGTGAAATCTAGGATACTTCTCATTTATCAAAAAAAAATATTTGATAAAAGAGATATTAATAAATACAGCAGGGGAATGGCTAGGACAAATTTACATTCACTTAAAAATATACTTGTTATTGCATCTTAACATTCTTAACTATAACATATTTTAATACCTATATGTCTAAAATCTTCGAATACATCATTTAAAGATAATAAACATTTATTAAAATCAACGAAGAGCATAGAAATGTTTTCAAGACTAAAAACTGCATTACTAATAATTGGTTGATTAAATACTAAAAAAATTAAGAAAAACAATTTTAAATAAATTAATATTATGTAAAAAGTAAAATCATATATTTTGTAAATACACTTTTACGACCATTATATTTAGTTAATTTATATTGTATGTTTACATTGAAATGATTTAAAAAATTCTAAAAATTGTCTCAAATTTAATAAAACCTAGAATAACTGTAAATATTTAATAAAACTAACAAATACACATAATGAAAAGTATTAACAGTGTGACTTTACACCTGTGTGTACGCTATAATATATGTTTTTTTTACACTTTCGACTTTAAAGTATTAAGCAAAAAACCCATTACGATTATTTTTTAATTTTAATGAAAAAAAAAATGCAAGCAGTTTTATTAAAGCTATACAATTTTATTATATTAGGATACGAAAAACACTCATGCATACAGGTATAATGATAAATTCATTAATGTCAGCCTAGTGATTAATCATTCAACGAACCCGTCATGATATCGACTTTCCAATTTGTCTCTTTACCCACGGTCGGATCATTATTGTCTACCTACCAGTAATTGCTTCTAACTGACACATATATCAGTAACATATTTTTTACTCATGTTTACAATGAATTAATATATTATAAATAAAATAGATGAATATATTATGATTATTAAAATATACATCAATAATTTTGGACTGAGAATTGTTTTCAATACATAATATTTTATACATAATTTTATATCAATGAAATTAAACAACACACATATTGTAATGTAATTTTATAATAAGAGATATTTTACATGATAACTACAGTTAAGTTTATAATAAATTAATCTAAAAGCCAAAGTTTTAAATTGTTTGTGAAATATACTTCATGATTATCTTATTATCATTTATTTATAACTACACAATACCCTGCAGTATGCCATAAATATGATATCAAAATAAAAAAAAATTGCAATATGTTACCAATCGAATCTCAAATAAATTCATACGAAATATGATTGTCATTGTTTGACTTAAAAGTAGCGCGAATTAGTACAATATTTATAGCGATGTCCTTTCGCTCTAGCATCTATTTAATAGTCTTTTGCTAATATTTGAATACATCAAATAATTTAAATAAAATATTTTTTAACTTTAAAAATACGGTACACCATTAAAATATTTATCACATCTGTACATAATAACAAATATTAACATAAATCTATCACGTAGATAAAATTATTCTTTAATTCATATTAATTGTAAATGAACGTAATAGGTGATAATTAAAAAAACAGAACTATACAATTTGTAAAAATACTTTGGCATATGAGTTGTACAATATTAAATGGTATCCCATCAAAATAGTGAAAATAAAATCACAAAAAAAAAACTGCGAACTAAAAATAATCGAATGAATAATAAAAGGAAAAAAAAGTATAAAGATTCAGCTAAACGGATTCAAAAATTACTAAATATGTACGATGAAAATGATAATTTAAATTTTTTAAAGGAATTGCCTATAATTTTACATATTAGTTTATTAATATTTTATTATTTCTTTCATAGTTACCTATAAAATATTAATAAAAATAAACAATGTATAGATACAACAAAAATAAGAATTGTGGTCATAATTTTAATTTTTTTTTTATATTTTCCATTATTTTTTATTCGCTATTTTAGAGGTGAATCATATAAAATAACATAATTATAATAATAATTCATTTTATTGCGATAATATGTATAATATATAATATAGTATTTATATATTTTTTTCTTAAAATATCAATTAAAATTATAATACTTTATGTTAGTAAAACGTATATTTTACAAGTAATATTATAAGTTAATACCAAATCTAATATAATATTAAGTACTTCGAGTGACTAGCACTTTAATTTTAAAATAGAAGGACGTCCATTTATTATAATTTTTTAAGGTAAAATATCTTTTTAACAAAAACCATGACAGAGAAACCAATGGGGTTTATTATAATGTAAATCAAAATAAATTTAAGCAATGTATAACCACAGTGTACATACAATACGAAGACGAGCTAAATAGAAAACGTTTGATACTATCAACTTTTCCATGATATTCATTACACATATTATAATAGTATACGTATTATGATACAAAATACGGTAACCTTGTTTTAGCATTATAAACTAAAAGCAAGCATAAATGATCATAAAATACAATTATTTCAGTCATTAAATATTTAAAATACTGTTAGTTATAATAATTTATGAATAATTCAAATAATTTAATTTTTTTTTTTTTTTCTAACAAATAACTAGAATAAAACATAAACTAATAAAATTTTGAAGATTGACTTATTGTAATGTATTAAAAAGTATCAATTAAGTAGAAAGTAATCATTTATATGATATTTTTTTTTTCTATAGTTGTATTGGATTATTCTTATATCATACAACTAAAATTATATTTTAAAACTTTTTCGTTTTTTTATGTGACAATTAATCAGAGCTTAATTTTATATTATTAGCTGTTATTAAGAAATAAATGTATTTTATTAAATGATGTTTTTTATACAACTCATGCCTATGATTTATCTATATGGTTTATTTTACTTTTTAATATCAATATATTTGCAATCAAATTATTTATTTTTATATAAAATAAGTTCATTTTGTTGTTTTTAATTATTAAAAAAGTTGACGGTCACGATAGCGATTTATTTTTAGGCTATGTCTGAAGAATCCTAAGTTGTAAAACAAAACAAAAAATTGTTTATATAAACACTGAACTGTTTTAAATATTATATCATGATGATAAATAAAAAAAAACACTAATATAAGTATAAGGTATAAGTACTAAATAATATTTTCACTCAAGTAATAATTTATATAGAAAATACTAGTCGTCTACTTGAAAGTTAAAATATCAAATTAAAATATATTTTTCAGTACCTGTTTTGACGAGTTTGAAGGTAGCAGCATTGTGCGTTTTTAAAGAGTCGTTTAGTGCTGGATGCGTAAGATCCCTGAGCGATAGGTCATCGCCCATCGTTGAGGCCATTGAGTTCATCGATTGATCTCCTCTTAAGAGTCTGTGACCGCCATCCACGACTGTAAGAATAAAGGTAGGTTTTATCGTTAATCTCAAGTCAATAATTTCTGTACGATATTCATTCAAGTAATGAAATTAAGTCATCAATGTCAATAATACAAAATATACTCAATAGTGTAACAAAAAACAAAAACAAAATAAATAATTTTTGAAAAAAGCTGATCAATCAAGTATTTGTAAAAATAGTTATATGCTTGGTATCTAATAACATTTACAATTTTTAAAAATTTAATCAATAGTCGATAACAAAAACGACACAATACTATAATTTAATATATTTTCAATACATGTATACAGAATCGCGTATGACTAAGACCTTCCCGCATATACCTTTAACAATTTGGTAAAATGAATAAAACAAATTACGTCCAGAATAGTATAAAATATATATGAATATGCTCAAAAATAAATGACAAATCGGCTTTCACCAGATATTATTATTTATGTCATGCGTTTAATAATAAAAACCGGATAATGTGAAACTTTCGTCCAAAACTATGAAACGAAGCACTATTGTAAAAGAAGTGGCTACAAAATGAAATGATTCATCGAGCATTTTCACCACCAAATAATTTTTAAATAATGCATTTATATAAAATTATATTATAACAAACTATAATCTCAAATATTCAGTCTAAATAAAGTTAATAACACGGGAGAGACATTAAAGGTACTTATTAGAATTTTGATTTAGATACATAAACTTTTCGAAAAACTTATCTGCATATAACAATTAACAGTAAAAAAAAATTTATATTACCACAAGTCATTTCTTAATAATTTTTTCAAGGAATCTATGTATTTAATACTAAGGTATACAATAATATTTTAACAATTAGGGCATTAAAGGATAAACAGAGTTAAGCGTATGCTAGGTGAATCACCTTGTTAGTACATATATTTACAAGTTACACACATACACCATCTAATGTATCTTATCTGACGAAATTTGTATGCGTTTAGATAGGAATCTAAATATTTAAAACTATTTTTCCATATCCGCGAAGATAAAATAAAATAATTTCAAGTTTTCGATTTATTACAAATATAAGTATTAACAATAATTATTATTAATAAATACATAAGGCTAGACTTGAGACTCAATTCAACTAAATAAAAATCGGCATACATTTTTAGTCATTTTTGAGAAATGCTAAAGAAAACCGTCACTTCCATGAAATTTGTCGAGCCGATGACAATATCATAAAAATATTGTCAAAATGAAATGACGACTTAATGGTTTTGTCGTACGCATTGTTTAAGAACTACAACAGTAAAATTCAAATAAACTATAAATGTGATTCAAAAATATTAAGTTTGTTATGTGGTAGTTACATTTTTCGTATGAAATAGATGCAGATATTGGAGAATAACGAAAGGGAAACTTTAAAACAATTGTTTAATATTTTAAACACAACTTTAACATCAAACATACAACTACAATTTTGTTTTCTTTCTACTTTTACATTATCTAAGTGCTATTGTATACAATATTATACACACTCTGAGTATTTTTCTAATAACTATATTGCATATTTTAGCACTTAGAACAAAACTCAGTGGAAGTATTGCAATTTTTTTCATTTTCATTAGAGTAGGTCATTTGGCTGTCATAACTTTTGAAATTTAAATTAAGCCTACAAGTAAAATGATTAAAAATAAAAATAAATCGTTAAACACACTTGTAATATACATTTGCTGATTATGTAATTTAAAATTTATTTAATTCTCTGAGGTAATATTCTCGTTCAGTGAACTGAATAATCGTTATTTTTAATTATTTTCATTATAAATAAACATTAATTTTGAAATCTATTAATGCAATCACATCAAAGAAGAAAATATTAACTATTAAAATGTTATTGCCGTGTTCTACAGAATTATAAACTTAACTAAAAAATAATTATTTAAGTATAAATCTAAAAAAACTTATTATTTTATCCAAAAATATATCAAAAACATTAAATTTAACACAAAACAACCTATAGTTAATAAATTTAAATAAGCAAATAATGATTTAATCTAAAAAAAAAAATATTAATCAAAAACGGAATGGTATACCCTCTTAGTTATTTTGAACGATAGTCTCAAATCATCTTTTATCACCAACTTAAAAATACATAGGTACAAAAATATTTATTTTTTTCTTATACACTAATTTAAGCGCTCCAATTTTTTTCATTCAATATATTTTAAATGCTATGTGATAATTCATGATTAGGATAATACTTCAGTGAAATTGTTCACTAATATAAATAAAAAAAATATTCATATTAACATTAACTCAGAACTGCTTAAATAGAAAAAAAACAATTTTTACTACGGAAAAAGTTTATTTAACAAATTATTTTAATATATTTTAAGTTTTCGGATTTAATTGATTAATGACCGGCGCATTACTATTATTCATTTCGATTTCTTAAAATGTTATTCTAAAGCTGATGTTTGAAAACATTTTTCATATTGCAACTAATCGGGAAAGATGAAAATATGATACTTTATGAAAGAAACGAGAGATACAATAAATTTCCGTATTCCATTTTCTTATGTACAAGTCCTTCGATTCTGAATAACAGTGCTATTGGTTTTGTATTGATGTATTTATTTTTGCTTTTAATAGTCTGAGAACATTATTAATGGTTAAAATTTCGTATTTCATTAGTTTCTAACCTCAAATATAAGAATAATATTATAATATATACAATCATTTTATAATAAGACATAATTTGAATTTAGTTTTAAATATTTAAAACGCATAATATATAATACGTGTACAAATAAAATAAATATTATCATAAATAAGTAGATGTATATGATTGTAGAAATATAAATTTTTTACAATAAAATTTAATTGATATGAATGTCATATGTTATTTATTCATACATTTGCAAAAATGTACATTTAATTGTCATAAATTTTATATTTTTTCCATTAACAATATTAGTATACCTAACGTATTATATCTTAGCGTTATTTTGAAGGTTTATTGTAGGTCACCGCGCAGCATTGTTGTTAAAAATTAAAAATTGATAATTCATGAATAATTATGAAATATTTATATGTACTTCAAATAGCGGTGGTAAAGCATCTAGAACGGAATTCAATTACAAAAAATTAAACTCTGAAAGATAATTTTTAAATCGTAACGAAATTAATAAAACCACATTTTTACCATTTATCGTCATGTTTATGTTTCTTGTTATATTTTACAATGGTATATTTTTGAAGTAAAACAAAATCCGAAAAAAACCCTGTGACAAACAAAATAGCTTATATTATTTATGTATTGGAATTCAGGGTTATCCATACATAGTTGACAATAATCGAAATTCTTGAGAGTGAACCCCTATAAAAATAATATAATTAAATTATTTTATCCCATTCTGTTGCTAGATTTTTTTTTTTTTTTTAGAAAAAGAAAACGGCAAGTCACTAAGAATACATAAAAATCGGATTAACACTAACTTAGTATTAAAAATAAAATTCTAGTAAAATATTCTGGTGGTATATTTTAACTATGATTAAACATAAATGAATATTAACCTAAATCTGTGTAAAGAAGATGTAATTTAAAAATACAAACATACAATAATATATACCAACTAAATGTTTAATACACACAATTTTTCTATGATGCATGAACATCGAGCATTTTTTTTTAAATTATATGACCGCGATATTACACTAACCATTCTAATTATCGAGAACAAACTCTGAATAAACAGATTTAAAGGCAGCTATTATCTAGTTATGGACAATGATCGTCATAATACGCTACTACTTCATTTGTTATGTCATTAATTACAGCAAAACTGATTTTACATAATCTACATTTTTTATTATTATATAGTATAGTACTTAACAAATCGAAATTTCCATAATTTGATTACTTGAATCTAACCAATTATTAAAGAATTATTTATTATAATAAAAAGTATTTTAGTGATTTTTTTTTTTTTTTGAAAGAGAAAGAGGGAGTTACAGTGGTGTAATCATTATTTTTCCACAAGAATAAATTTGTTAAAATAAAAAAAATGTTTAACTTTTACAAAACTTAATCTCGTTACATGCACCAGATTGATTTTTATATACCATAAATATATAATACAATATTGTTCCTCAGTGACTACCTCGAGACTCAAAAACGTTAAGTTGGAGTGGCTATATAATGTATATTTATATGACTAGCCGATAACTCTATAATTTTTATCACACTGCTGCATTTGATATTCAAAATTTTCATTTATACAACTTAATTCTTCACGTTAAAATGTTGATCAAAACTTCTATTAGCTTCATGCTACGAATAATCTATAGTTTTGTATACCCTACGACAAATTATTATGGGTAGACTTTATCCCTAAGGACTAAGAGATATTTTTATGTGGCAGTTTGTTTCCAGTATCGGGAATTGTTATACATAATAGTTTTTTTTTTGTTCGCCACTGATTGTGTACATTGCTACCAAGTTCAAATGTGTCTTATACGTAGTTTACTGTTTTATTTATAAAATGTTCCCGATATCAACTTTTAGTTTTAAAAAAAGAACGAACAACACTGTTTTGTATAACAATGTTTCATGTACGTATACATTTAAACCTGTAGATATATAATGCTTTTATACTTATTATATACATACACATGAGATGTATATAAAATGTATATTAAATAATGTTTAAAACATTACTTTAAGAGTTAAAACATTAGAGTGAGTTTTGATATATATTTTTATCTTGCAATCTCCGGTTACGTGGATAATGATTATGAGTTATTACAGAAAACGAAGAAACAAAAATGAGGACACTTTGATACAATAAATTTTTATTTATTAAGTATTTGTCAAGTTCAAATTGTTTTAAATACTTCAGGAAATTCGGGTGTGTACTGATCTATATTAAAATCTCAATGTTTTAAACGCGCCTCAGGAGTGTTTATATTTCTACAACAATATAAAATCAGAAATTTTTGGTTCATAGCGTAACAAACCATAACTGTTTAAATTCCAATAAACTTAAAAACTAAATAGTTTTAATAGAATAACTGAATTACATGATTCTACATAGGATTAGAAGTTAATCAAGAATATAAAATATATGAGTAAATCAAAAAATTATGAGAATAACTAAAATTAAAAAGTAAACTCATACTCTTTTTAAAAAGTGACATCACACAAATATCTAGAAATAAATATAAACAATAAAAATACCATTCAGAAGAAAACACAAGAAAAAATTATCAGCGCAAATAAATTCTATTAATATTTACTAAAATGTTATACACTAGCTATCTTAGACCTATTATAATAAACGGATGTTAAACTTAAGCATCCATGAAAAGTGAATATTCTAAAATTAGTACAATAAAAAGAAAAATGCTTAAAATAATATAAAGCTCAGCGTATATACAGAAATAAAATTTCACGATAAATGACATAATGCAAATATGAAAAATATATAAATACCTAAAATGTTATCTTTTAGTACAAGTAAAATATTAGAATGATTTAGGCGTGTATACAAAGTAAATGGAAAAATAATAAAACGAGTAATTGAAGAAATAATTTCACGTAAAGACCTCTAGGAAGGCCCAGAACACGATGGAAACAAATGGTAGAAAAGGATTTAGAAATGGTCAATGAAAATATGTAAATTGAGAAGACATATGGAAAAAATTTATGGAATAAAGAAGAACTAGACTATATTTATTTTTCCAACATAATCTCTTTTTACTATTTTTAAAATCTACATAACAAATCTAATAAATCATATAGAATCACCATATAAGACATTTTAAATTTTTGGTGTCAGGAAATTGTGAGATATTAATTTTTGTTTGTCATAGAATTGTATTTAAATTTAAATGCAAACAAATTATTAAAAAAATAAATACTTAAACATTTTATAGACATAAATTTTAGTGAAAAAGTTTTAATATCCAGTCTATTGCTTAGATCACTATTGAAAATCAGGTTTATTTAATTTAAATTTTTTAATAATAATTTCTATAATTTAGATAGATAATGATATTTTATTAACAAAGTTGTATAATTACTTGAAATTATATACGTATATACGGATATTATAGTGGTGGTTAGATCTATCAAAAATTCGGCATTTTCCCGACAGACTCTTGTCCAAGTTTAATGTTTGTTTTATAATGCTCAGACCTTAATACCATCATATTATTAAATTGAAATAAATATAATTTTACTGTAAATTATTACATACAACAAGACATTTTGATTGTTACTGCTCATAGTGTGTTTAAAGCGCTCTAGCTATACTGCACATTATTAAAAAAAAATTTTATGAGCACAATTTGTTTATTATTTTACTTTTTTGGAAATTATTTTAAGTTTTTTATAAACTAGTGGTATGAAAACGTACAATGTATTAACTACCATTATTGGTTATGAGTGTTATGACTTATGCTAAAAATTGTGTATAATATTAATTTTATTTGAGTCTTAATTTTTTTGTTATTTGTTATAATTATCAACTATTACTAAGTATGCAAAAAAAAATTTAAGATTTGTTCTTTGAAAAAAATATAAATTATTTTACAAATAGCCAAATAAGAAAATTAAAAAAAAATTCTATTTCATCTCCACACAATTTAATATTAAAGAATTTTATATATTATATTAAATTTTCGTTTAATTTAACCAAATTTAGACATGATAGGCATTATGAATTCTGATATATTTATAACAAAATAACTAAATAATTTGATACATGCGTAGATACTTGTTTAAATATTTTGAAATATATTATATAGCGTACTTCGCTGAAAAAGTTTTAAATTTATAAAAATATTATGTATTTGCAGACAGTAACTTTGCCATATACATAATAGTAACAATTATTACTATCTAAAGAACTAAAAATAAAATTATTATATTTAAAATTCTTAGAATAGTTTTATGGATATATCGACCTATTAAATGATAAATAATATTATTTATTCATTTATTCATTAATATAACAATAAAAATATGCAAAACTTTGTAAATGATATACGAATAAAATAAGCAGTAAATTTTTAGGGCCTTTTTGTTAATAGGTCCTTGAATTCAGTTACTGCGAACATAAAATATCCTTGTCCCCCAATGTGTAGTACCTGCTTTATTATCTTGCAACTAAGATTAGAAAAGTAATAACAGTAATACGATATATTCACTGCAGATCCACGTCCGTCTATTGTTTATTACTACTATTATAGTATTAAGTATCTATGTGGAACACGGCGAAGTATATAGGCAAAATAGATACATAATTGCGTTCAAAAGAAAACATTTTAAATTGAATATTACTTGACTTTTCAAAATATTAAATTTTTTATTTGTTTTAATAAAATTGTCATGCAATATCTATGTCTTGATTTGCGTATTTTAGGCAATTTATTTTGAATGACTATGATAAAAAAAAAATCTATTCAATATCAAAGTAATTTAAAAAGCCCATCGTCTATGACGTCAAATAAATTTGCACAGAAGTGCATGATTTAAATAATTTCTAACTATAAGACTAAAATTATATAATAATCTAGAATTGATAACTTTGAATAATTGTATTATAATCTAAAACTTTCTACATTAATTAATGTGCTTAGACTTTATTAATTAATTATACTATTTAAATATTTTTAAATAATTTATTTTTTACATGTAAATAATTCATTAAACTTTGTACTTTAACATTTTCTTTCGCTGAGTAATATTAATTTTACCTTAGAAATACAATTAATAAACTTTATACTATATTTATCTTTTGTATAGCTTTAAACCATACAAGCTCACCCTGTGCGTACCTATATGTATTTAGCACAAATAGTATTATGAAACTACATTAAATATACTTATATACGCATTTAAATATTGTCATTTGACCTCTAATGGAATTATATAACTATGAAAAATAAAATATAACCAGGAAAATATTTGTGATTATTATAAAAGCCATGAATATAAATTTTGATTCAATGCAAACCACAAATAATGCAAACTTTTAAATTAAAATTTTATTAAAAATTGTGTACTCGTATATTAACGATGTATCATTTATTTAAAATATACTGTATGATAAATACATGATAAAAAAACTGACTTATCAATATTTATCACTAATTAAACTTGTACCTAAATATTATTATATTTCTCGTTAAGTATTATGCATTAACATTAAATGCAGTACAATTAAATAATAGAATATTTAAATTCAATTAAGTAAACAATTAATAAAAAAATAAGTAAGTTTTACAGATAAATATTTTATATGTATTAGAAAAAATAATTTTTTTTTAGATATACCATTGTACTTGTACAGTTATACAATTATTATATTATTATATTTACATTTACTTGATTGTAAGTATAATATTTCATAATAAGATTATTTTTGATATTGTTATACAAATTAATAGGTATAGTTTTTTTTTTTTTTTTTTGCGTTGCCTGTGAAAGAAATATAATAACTAAATCAATCGACTGGCACAAACAAAAAAGTTAATACTTCGAATTCAATAACGAGTGAAACCACTTTTTTTATCGAGGTTACGAGTAGTTTTCAACCTGATCTCGTCAACCAAAGCGAATTTAATTTTTTTTCAAGCTTATACTTATAAGAAACACTTGCTTTTCCACGCTAATTGGAGTGGTATAAGAAGAGATCTGAACGTAGAAAAAATGTTCAAGTATCGGACCCCAAGGGATCGTTATTATCAAACACTCAAATATTTCAGTTGAATGTCACGTATACATAAATAAATGAGCTCCAAAAAAGTATATAAAATACAAAAACAATGCAACTTATGTATTTCGTAGAATCGTACTTCTGTTTATAAAAACGTCCAGTTCTCTTAAAACCATGAGAATCTAAACATCTGGCTTATATGTAAGGGGTATACAGTGTCCTTTAGGGTTTTCTAATAAATAAATAGTTTGATATATATTTAAATCCCCTTCAAGAGTGCATTAAAATGACATATATTTTGTCATTTGTTATTTCAATCAATTTAGTGTTAAAGTTTCAAAGAAATTAAAATATTAAGAAGTAATGTTTTTGTAATAAGATAAAAAATAAAATATATATATATATAAATATAAAAAATTTAAAAAAATATTCAATAAACTACAAATGTAATCGAAATGTATTTAAATGTAGTCAACTATGTATTATTTATTCTCTTAAAGGTTTATTATTTTTAATTATTAATATATATAATATATATTTATGTATATTTTTAGTAGTAGTTTCAATACTATACATTTGATTGCATAGAATTGTGTCAAGTGTTGTATACACTTATACTCGCTAGTATTCACATATTAATTAAAATTAAAAATATATATATGTTATAATAATAATCATAAATTTATAAACTTTGATTAGTATTTAGTGTCATCTATACCAGCGGTTCTCAAACTGTGGTACGCGTACCACTAGTGGTACGCGAAAGACTGTATGGTGGTACGCGGAAGGCCGCATGGTGGTAGGACGGAAAATTAAAAACAATTATTAAATTCTTAGCGTAGCGATGATTTTACAGTGTCGTGTGTTATTTAATTCATATCTTAATTTTTCTTAAACACTAATAAATTTAACTATGTAAAGTTTGTATTGTTCTATTTTTAATCATCAGTGGTACGCAACTGATTGATAATATACTTAAGTGGTACGCGAAAAAAAAAGTTTGAGAACCGCTGATCTATACGATTATTCAACCCACTTTTTATGAACAAATTTAATACATAATAAGTAACTTTATTGATAATTAAATTAGATGAAATAGCAACTGTAAATCGTAATTCGTAGGTGACACCTTGATATTTTTTTTATCATCAATATGTGTAAAAACAAAAAAAAAAGGTTAATGGATAGGTATTAAATTACATATTTAGTATGTTTTTACCTGGGATAGTACGGTGTTGGTTACAATAGCAACGTTGACCAGACCGTTGCTGTTGACGTTGACGGGTTGTGGGTCGACCGAATGACAGCTGTACGACTTCGTCCGCCGGGAAGATGACATACATGCTTCGAAACGCAACATGGCGATGGACTCGCAGTCCTGTACTGTTTTAAAGCGATATATCTATATATATACAAGAATAAAACAATAATATTATTAAATAAGATATATTAAGTAGTTTTACGAGTAAATAATAATATAGGTACATAATATGAGTGCCTTTACAATATTAGCTGTCTCCATAGTAAAAAAAGATGTATACGAAATATTAGACCTTAAGTTTAAAGTAATCGATAAGATATGTATACGCTGAGTCTAAAGGATATAACATCATATTAAAATACTGTCAATACTGAAATGACATAAATCTAATATCTTTTAAGGTTACCAATCGCCGTAAAATACAGACCATATTATACTACAAATATTTAAATAAAAACTAATATAACATTCCATGTTCAAGTGTGTTTTTCACTCAAGATTTTATAAATGCACAAAATATTTAAAATTTACTGATAATATATATTCAAATGAAAACCTTAATTCAATTATTTTTATGGGTATAATATTAACTTAAAATATTGTAACTAAAAATACTTTAAAACAAATATTAATAATTAATAGCAGGCTACTATAATTTTTCTCTACTTATGACTAATTAATTATTTTATATTTTATTGAAATTAATCATACTAAAAAATAACTGTTCAAAACTTGTAAAATCACAGAACTAATAACTTTAAAGTTTTATTTTATTTTCATCTATATCACTTAGAAAAATTGAATTTTAATTTAACACAAGATACTCAAAAGGTAAATTATAATGATATTTTTTTTTTTTTTTTTTAATCCAAAAATTAATTTTGGATAACAGGTTTTTTTATTACTTTTAAAATCTATTGTTTATTTATTTTAAATTTGAATAAAACGATGAATGTATTTATTTTACAATGATAGGCGTTTTTTTTTTTATCTGTTATCACCTTTTAAAGCAGTAAAAATGCTACAAATATCAAATAATTGTATCTTGTTGATACTAAGAAAAAGGAGCCAAGAGTAAAAATGTTCCTTTAATTTTTTTAATAATTGGAAAAATTGAAAATAAAAAAAAATAGTAATATTTGGGTATAATTTTTAAAAATAATATTTATGATATATTTTTTTAAATAGTTATAAATAATTTAAAATTGAATAACTGTAAAAATTGAAATTTTCATCAAGTACTTATATTTTTATTTTCTATACATGGTAAAAATTTTAAAATATTTTGACTCTTTTTGAGCAGTTTACAGACAATTCAAATTCAGTTTTTTTTTTTTAATTTTATTTCTATTTATGCCAATAAACAAAAATTTGATAAGTAAAAATTATTGATAATTTAATACAAAATTCCACCTAATTTATTCTTAAAGGTATATCAAAGATTTAGACAAAATTAAATATTTAAACGATGAATATTAACGTTAAGTATTTTGATATAATTCTAAAACATTATTCGTGGGAACTAAAACTTTAACATAATACATTATGAATTTATACGCAATGACTATTTTCAAAATATATAGATAAGTTTTGGATATTATACTCTTATGCTATGAACCTATTCACACTGTTTTACGATAATGTGTATTAACTCAGAATAAATAACAACAAAATAATAAAGTTTAATTATATTTATAATAATTAATAAATTTAATGTTTTTGGAAAAAATTAAATCAACCTAATACGATACTTTTTTTAAATTTAATTCTTTATTCAGCAATCTGTTACAAACAAATAAACAATAAGCTAAATTGATAACACATATATATATTAAATATTCATTGAAATGAGGGACTAAAGAGATCACCCATTGGCGATATGTCGTAGGTGGGGGGAGTTATAAGTTAGACTTTGTAACATTTTTTTATTTATATATATATACACACATTTTTTTTCCTATTTATTTTAACAAGTCACAACACCACTGTCTTTTTAACCTCTTTTGAGGATTACCTGGAATAGTTATGGATGAGAGTTGATTTATGAAAGCGTTTAGGTGTTGGATTAATCGGCTATTGAAACGTTTATAATAAAGTTTGGCTAGTTCAGTGACAATTGGTATTTTAAAGTCAGAATGAAGAGATTTGTTAGAAATATAAAATGGAGCTTTGGAAACGTTACGAAGAATTTTTGTTTGGAATTTTTGAATACGGTTAGTATTTAATATTTTTGCTGCACCCCAGAGCTGGATACCATATGTCCAGATAGGTCTTATAAGAAGTTTGTAGATTAGTAGTTTTTTGGATAGTTTATTTTTTTGGATATTAATAAGGGTCGTAAGAGACGAAAACGATTGTTTAGCATGACAATTTTGCTTTTGATGTGTGGTACCCAAGTAAGAAGACGGTCAATACGAATTCCAATATATCACACACATTGGGTATTAGGTAATATTTAATTGTTAAGGAAAAGTGTCGGGCATGTAACATATCGAAGAATGAAATTACAATGAATGGACTTGCTATCATTTATTTTTACTCCCCATTCTTTATACCATGTTTTAAGAAGGTGGAGATAGTTTTTTATATAAACAGAAGCTAAGTTAGGGTCGGCACTGCTAGCTATTAAAGTTTTGTCATCTGCAAAATCACCTACCAAAGTTTGGTTTGAGTTGGGCTGATCGGATATGAATAAGTTAAAAAGTAATGGGACAGTTACTGCGCCTTATGGTAAATTGGCATTAATTTTTGCTGGATAGGAGATAGCAGAGCTTACACGTACTGAAAAGAAACGGTCTTCAAAGTAAGATATTAGGATTAAATAATAATGACTGGATAGTAGACGTTTTAGTTTTTAAAATAGGCCCGAGTGCCAGACTCTATCAAAAGCTTGGAAAACATCAAGGAAAGTTCCGGTATAGTAGAGTTTATCCCCTAATGCAAAAGAGATTTTGTCGACTAATCTATGTACTTGATGTATAGTAGAATGACTATTGCAAAAACCGGATTGAGAGTTGGATTATATATTCGCATTAGTGACTATAGGTAGAATACGTTTTAGTAATAGTTTTTCGAAAATTTTTTATAGGATTGGAATATTTATTGGTCTGTAGGAGAAAGGACTGCAGTTTGGCAGTTTATTAGGTTTTAGGATTAAAATGATAGTAGAATATTTCCATAAGATTGGGAAATACGATTGTCTAATCATTGAATTATATATTTGAGGAAGGAATATGATAGTTTTTTTGGTAAATGTCTTATTATTTTAGCAGTTAGCAAGTCAAAGCCAAGAGATTTTTTAGAAGAATTTTTTTTTATGATAAATTCAAATTTGCCAGGAGAAAATACTCAAGGAGAAAGGGACGTTAATTGCAGAAGAGAGTCTAAAAAACTTTCAACGTCTTTAATACTATTTGGAGATAGAATATCAAGATATACTGGAACATATTAGTTAAATGTTTTGCAAAGATGTTTGCTTGGTCAAACTCGGATGTAGCCCAGCTTCCATCATCGTTGCGTAAGGTAGAAACCACGATACTAATAGTAAAATTAATAACTTTAATAGCTATATTAAAAAAACATAACATAAAAATATATGCTTAATTATAAAGTGACAAACCATCTACATTCAGAATTGTTTTTTATATATTATAATACATCATTGAATTTAAATTTAACACTTCCGTTATAGTAATTCACTCGATACATACTATACAACAAAGCAGTATCTATTTATTATTTTTATTTTTAAAGTGCATACCTTTATAAAAGAAGTGTATTTTTAATTGTATATGTTTATATAGTTGTTTTATCCTGATAACTATACCTAATAATTCATCAAACCTATTTCTTTTATCATTTGATTTCAGTACTCCCAAAAAATTATTTTAACAACAAACCAACAAATATATAATCGTATTTTGTTTGGTAACAAAAATATCAATGCAACCTTCACATTTTATAATAATTTTATTTATTAATTACTCGTATTAAAGATATATAACCAAATAACTAAAATGATATGAATATGTGCAGCCATTACGTTATCAGTAATGCCGTATTTATCAACTTTTTAAACATTTCGGTAATCTGGCGATTGTAAACTCTGCCAGAATACAGGTTAAGATAAAAAGGTAATAAGAAGTCTAATGTAAACTCCACCAGTTTTTTTTTTTTGTTTAGTTGCTCAGTGCTCATATTGCCTCGTGCCTTCTCACATAAAATACGTTGACATCTATTGCGATGATATATACTAATGAAGTAATACAAGACTTAGAAAATTTACAAATTGTATCACATCATTTTAGTTTACATACATGACATAACTATATATTTTATATTATTAGGTATAACGATTATTTATTATGATTTTTTTTTTACTATGATTTAAATATGTAATGTGAACGAAATGATATGATAATATTATACTATAATTTTTTTTTTAAGAACATATTATTTTAATTTTATACTATTACTTGATTTTCTTCACTGATGGAGTTTACATGAATCCAATTTTACCTGTTTTTTTTTTTTTTTCTAGCAGAGTTTACAGTAAAAAAGGTACTTGTGGCGGAGTTTACATGTGCCCGAGTAAGAATATATATTTATTTTTTTTTTTTATACCGTAAAATGAACATAAATAATACTCTGACTTAAACAAAATATTAATATTAACAGAATAGTGGTTATATGACTTCATCGACGTTTTATGCATTTATAATGACGGCAAAACGTGAGCATAAAATGATACATTTCATCGATACAAAACTGGTAGGATAATATTGTTTTATTATAGTGTATTATATGGTTTCCACAGAATAATTTTTAAGAATAAATTACTCACGATAAAAAATGTCGTTAAAAATTTTTATTTTTCATAACTTGCGACTATAAAAGAGTAAACTGCGGGAAATTTACAAGCCACCGTAAACATGATTCATGCAAATTAATATATCCTCTTATTATCCAAGGCTATAAATACAACCACGTGTAGGTAACATGTTTTCATATTTGCACATATTTACACATGCATGCGTACAAAAGTACGGTAGTTGGACTTAATTAGAGAGGAAAGCTATATGGGGCATGTTGAAGTATTACAACAACTGTCGGCACAAAACCAAAGGGATTAAGTTAAGTTA